TTGATTGTTTTGAAAAGTTGCTCGGCTAATCATACAAAACACAGGCCGACAAGTGTGACAACGCACACGCACGGCGTACGTAACATGGAGGAGTCTGGGATGCGCACCAAGGACAGAGCTTTTTAAAAAATGATTAAGCCCAAGTCGCCTTGATGCTGATGGCCGACATGCTAAAAGCAGAGCGCAATACAACTTTAATAGCCGGCACTCTCGCGCAGAGCCATTTTTCTTCACTCTCCTTCATTACGTCTGCCTTTTGTGTCTTTCGTCTTTGAATGTCTAATGCCTCACGCAGCCCGTAGCCCATAAAACACAACTGCAACGCAAGCAGTCTGAGCCACTTAATTAAAGCTATTTGTGCAGCCTACATTCCATGTGATTTCTTCATGCTATTCTTTTAAGTGTTGTGCCCGTGGCCGTTCTAGCATGGCAGTGAAAGAACAAAAAAGCACAATTTAGAGAAAAGCAAAACTTAAAAAAATCAAATAAAATTGTGTGAAACCTATTTGGAGGGAAGAAAAAAAAATCAAAGGATGGGAATCAATCAAAAATTCAAGAAAGGCAGTTGTATATTTCTGAGAATTCTATCTGGTCTGTTATTCAGAAAATAATTATCGTACCATTTGGAAATATTTTTGGAGAATTTCTTTTTGAGAAAACAATATATTTCTGACATGTAGGGTGTACATCTGATTGTCTGTAGCTCAAAACATACCAAACAACACGGGCAGTTTTCACGATTCAGTTCCGACTACAGTATGTGTGAAAGCCACATATGGTGTGATTTGTTCATATTAGGCCGAACAGACTGTGTTGTTGTTGTTGTTGTTTTTTTTATTTTATTTTTTTTTAATCTTATGTGCAGTGCCTGAGGGCACTGTACTGTAGCGGCGCAATAAAAGACGCATTAGAGCAAAAGAGAGATTATTGTGGAAAAAAAAATATTACAAAGCATGAAGGTTCATTTTTTTTTTCGCCATCCTGGGGAAAGAAACAAATGTTTTTTGTGTGTGGGCGTGAGAAGTCAGCAGAGAAGACGTTCTCAGCAGGTGAACCCTCCTGGAAACAGGAGAGTTTAGACACAGCATTTTTTTATTTTATTTAACCTTGCAGATTTTTTTTTTTTGATGGTCGTAATATTGCACGTCGCAGTTTGCCTGACAAGTTCTGCCTAGCAACAAATATTGTGCCTAACATTGCAACATTTGCCCAATGTCAGCTGTGATCGGCTCCTAACATACCAGAGTGAGGATAAGCGGAGCAGAAAAACATCCAATGTGTTTTCCATGAAAAGGGGGCTCCCCCCCCAAAAAAATTAATCCTATGGGGGAGAAATGTGCAAACAGGTGCATCCACAGGTGCCAAACCGTGACTATGAGGGGGGTCTACTGTGCGCCTTTTTTTTCGTCAGAACGTTGCGACTATCGTCCTCATATTTCGAAATATGTCTCATGACATTGTGACTTTTGTTTTCCCTTTCGTAACGTTGCCGCTTTTTTTCTCGTGACGCTACGGACTTTTTCCCCAACGTATTTCTCCGTGTCTTCGTCAAACGATGACTTCTCCCTCCAAATTCTGCCTCGCCAAATGTGTCTGCGCAGCTCTGAGCAATTCCGCGTGGCTCTCTTAATTTGCACCATTTTCGAATCAATAATGGAGAGCCTAGTGTGTCGTCTTTGCCACAAAGATGGTCAGCGATGTCGTTTGTTAGTCTGGAGTCGCCCCATTTTCTTCCATGTATAAAGACCACGGAGGAGCAACCTGGGGGATGGGTCGTTGAGGGTGGGGGGAATCGTTCCTTGTTCGTCGTATCTTCCCCATTGGGCATGTGCGTTGCCAGCGCGTCCCCTGACAAAGCAGGAGGTCAAAGCGCTGTCACTCATCTTGATGTAAAAGCGGACTGGAATGCCAAAGGAAGCAGTTGCGGCGAATCCAAGTGAACGTGCCATAGACACGCCGTCACGTTGGCCTTGTGTGTGCGGGTGTGTGTTACCTGCTAATTGAAATGCGATGAGGTGTGAAACCACCCTTTAAAAGCCTATCACACTCGGTGCCGTGTGCGCGTCTTTGAGTGTGCGTGCGTGCAGTGCACATCGATGTTGTTTGTGTGCGCGCACGCTTGTGTGTGTGTGCGTGTATGCGTGAAAGCGTGTGTGTGTGTGTGTGTGTGTGTGCGTGTGCGTGTGTGTGTGTGTGTGTGTGAGGTACAGTTAAACCTGCTTGAACATAACCAAGCAACAAATGGTCGCTACCAACGTGTTATGTGTGTGTGTTGTTGTTGCCATGTCAGCCACCCGATGGGAAGAATTTGGAGTGCAAATTTGTCAATGTCTGAGAGAATTTAAAAAAAAAAAATTCCTAATAGAATCAAGTCCAAGCATTCTGAGAACAAACAGTTTATCAAAGTGTAATATGACAAGATGGTCAGAAGCTGGGAGTTGATATTTAACTGAAAGAGAAGAGGGGAAAAAAAAAGGAGATTTTTTTTTTTTTAACTGAAAGTCCAAAATGTTGAGGTGATGTTTTTAATAACCATAGAAGTTAAAAAAAAAAAAAAACATTTTAACTTCAGACTTTCCCTCCATATTACAACTTTTGCATGTTCTCCCTGGGCCCGCGTGGGTTTTCTCCGGGTACTCCGGTTTCCTCCCACATTCCAAAAACATGAATGGCAGGCTGATTGAACACTCTAAATTGTACCTTGGTGTGAGTGTGAGCGCGGATGGTTGTTCGTCTGTGTGTGCCCTGCGATTGGCTGGCAACCAGTTCAGGATGTCCCCCGCCTACTGCCCAAAGACGGCTGGGATAGGCTCCAGCACCCCCCTGCGACCTTTGTGAGGATAAGTGGAACGGAAAATGGAAAATTGCAGTCTTTCCAAGAAGAATCTTCCGTTTCTTGTTTTCTGTTTTCCTGGTTTCAAAACAAAGGCATCTCCTATTAAGTTTTGCTCTTATCGTACTTGGAAAGCTTCGACTTTGCTCATCGCGGCATGAATGATTTAAAAGTGGCGAGCGCACTGGGGAGCATGTATGAACAATTTAAAGCCATCGCCTGCTTCGGGCTGAAAGGTCAAGTGTGATGGGAAAACTGGAATTAGCATATTTAAATGCTTCCCGGGCAATAAATAAAATATTTCTTGTCTTCTTTTTCATTGTCGTCAGTTCTCCTATGAAGTCATTCAGTGCATAAGTAAAACGGTGAGTTTTTTTTTTTTTTTTTGGTCGTCTCTCAAATGCATTGGAGTCGAGTCCATGAAAAAAAAAAAAAAAAAAAAAAAAAAAAAAAGAAACGGTGTTTTACATTGAAACTATCTTTTATTCTTAATAAGTGAAAGGGGGGAGGGGAATGCCCAGTGTTGTTTTTGTGCTTTACATTAGAGGACCCGAATAGAACGCCCACCCACCAAGAATTCGGAAGCTCTGGAAAAATCATCATCATCATCATCATCACGCTTTACAGTAACAGAGCTCTAGAAATAATCCATCAGTCCATTCGGTGCTTATTTACAAGGCTTGAAAATATTGAATATCTAGAAAAGGGGCATGTCGTAAAATTCATTTGTGACGTTGTCATCTTTTCTAGTAGAAAAATGAGACTGCGGTTCTTCTTTCTACAAACAAGGCGCCGTCTACCTGAATCTCTAAACTCTTATTGTGCTATTCACATTGGAAAATAAATAAATAAATAAATAAAACAACCAACCCCAAAAGTAAGAGAACTTTTGAAGAAGTTACAATTGGTACGAGGAACAAGAAGTGCTTTCATATAAGAATAGGTCGACTAACTCGTGGCTATAATAGGCTACAGTAGTGTCGTCTAAAAGTGTTTGGTCGGCGCTTTCTGGTGCTGAAACGTTGACTGCAAACTCAAACTTTTTTTGTTTTTCTTTTTTTACTCGGACGTGTCATCGTGCGATGTCAAAACTTTTTCCTTGATACATTACTGTCATCTGTCCACACCAAAGGACCAATACAAAGATGTTTTTATAATGTCGTGTTTTCAATAACTACGTTCCACAACACTAAATTATGATTTCACTGTCCGAACATTTTTTCTCTCCAAATTAGCTTTCTCTGACAACAGTGTGTTTATTCTAGTAACATTGCCACTTTTTCTTCCAGTCTGACAGCTTTTGAAGAATGTTCCCATCCTTTGATACCGTGTCATAGATGGCTCTCACCTTCTTGCAATTGGCAAGATATCGCCAGAATATCACGTCTGCTTTGTTCGACCAGCTAACTTGCGGAAAGGTGTCTTATTGTTTTTACGGTTTTCACACTAATAAGAACAATCCATGTTCCAGCACCAGAGGTTGAACCATAGTATCCTCTACGTTCTTCTACGTATACTTTTAGGCTAATACAAGGCAGGCAGTGCATAAAAAGCATGTACAAAAAAAAAAAAAAGGAAAAAGCTCTCCCGTCCATAACTATCATGCATATCATGTCCCCGATTAATCGCCTCAGCGGAGAAGGCCTCAAAAGGATCACAGCAGTGTGTGTGTGCGTGTGTGTGTGTTGTGTGGGTGTGACATGTAATGTAAATATATCGATGTAAATACTGTAGATATAGCCTCCGTGGTTTGCAGACTCCCTGATATTTCGTCATGTATCATCACTACACATACAATAACGGAAAAAAACAATCGAGATGAAAAAAAATGCATTATTGCTTGATCAGATGTGAAGAAAAAAAAAGCCAGAGAGAATTTTGCTTTTTTTTTTTTTTGGCAACTAAAATATTGAGAACATTGGCATAGTTTTTCATTGCTAGGCTGTTGTCACCTTTTTTTGCATGCAGGTTTTCATGAAAATGTCAAACAAAAAAATTGTGTTTAAAAAAAAAAAAGGCTAAATAAATTAGAAAGTGTCAAATGCTTTGGCATATTCCAAACAGAAGGCAAAATAAAGTGCAAATTAATGGCATCAATACATAAATCAATAAATAGCGGAATACTGTGTGGTGGCATGTTTTTTTTTTTTTTTTCCGCTTCAGAATATTTTTTTTAACACACCAGTTCCCTTGAATGTTAGCCCTTGACATTTTGAACGTCTCCACTAACATTGGCACCGAAGACAATCTTTTAATCAGTTCAATATTGAACGTATTGCCGTAGTATTACCATGTACTGGGTAGAAACCAATGTTAAAAACCAACAGATGAGGTGAATTTTCAAATTAATGAAAAAAATGGGCCCATTTTGGGTCTCAAGCCACAATTTGGCAACATCTCCTTGAAACAGCCAATAAATAAATAAATAAATACCCTGGTGTTTTTTTTTTTCGTTTGTTTTGTTTTTGTTTTTTGTTACCTGTCCGCTTTGCTTGCTTATGCTTGGATCCAACAAGAAGACAGACGGACTCGCTTGCGATACTGTTGTGCTTGCTTGTGCTATTACGCTAATGGGTTATGATGAGCTTGATGTGCCGTGCTATGTTTATCTGCCTTTGCAGCTTCTCAGTGGGCTATTTTTGACTGGGCGGATGATCCAGTTGTTTTGTTGTTACTATTGTTCAAGATGGGTGTTAGTGTTGCGGTTTAGTCTTTTTTTTTTTTTTTTTTTTTTAACTTTGTGGATTATTTGTAGTGCTATTGTTTATTTCTATTGTGTGTTCTGGCAATTGTCATAATCTTATGACTTGTACATTGCGCATGGAGTGTGAGGTGCCAATTTAATTATTGTTATTATTATTATTTTTTACCGTGTGGATTATTTCGAGTCCTGATTCTGTTTACTTCTATTGAGCATGCTGACGGTTATCATCAATGTACACTGCACATTTGACCGAGTGGGACTGAGAAGACTTGGTGGATTATTTGGAGTTGTTGTGTTTCTTGTGCACGGTGACCGATTATCATGCTTGACTGGCTGTCGAGAGGAGCAATGGCATGTACCTTTTGCACGTACCTGTGCCTGAAGGCGTGCCATAGATTTTTTTATTTTTTAACTCCGTGTGCTATTTCTAGTCATTATATTGATTTCTGTTGGTCAAGATGTGTCATGAATGCCTGGCACTGATTATAAAATCATGTAGCCGTGCGTGACCAAGTGTATTTTTTTTTTCCAACTTTGTGGATTATTTCCAGTGTTTATTTCTACCACGCAAGGTACCAGATATATTTTGTCGAACAATACAATGGTGGAGGGTTAATGTCAGCATGGCCTAAATCCTATCAGAAGCACTGTCCTAAATTTGAAACCTATATTCTAATATTTGTTCCAAGAAATTATTTTCATTTATTCTCAAAAGTCTATTCGCTTTATCACATGGTCTGCACTGTTTATTGCTTGTCCAATCAGATTTCACTTTCTGTGTTGCGATGTCAATTTCATCTGCTTGACAGCCTTCAGAATCAGTCGTGCTGGTTGATGCTCCTTAAAGTACATTGGCAATGGGACTGTTTCTTGAAGCAATCGTATTTCAAATTCGTAACCACAAGGTTAGAGCGCTGTCTCTCGATGACTTCAGAACAAGCCAAGTTTGACTTGATTGACATCTGAGGCCATCTGCACACTTTATTTAATAGTCACCCTCTCAGCTGATTATAATGTATTCTTTCCTTTTTTTTCCCATGTTATTGGATAAATATTGATTCTGAACTACTCCACATGATCTCTGTGGCAGAGTGGCTTGCTGTTGTATTGTGTTTTTGTCAAATATAGTGATGGATTTTCTAACTGCAATGTGATAGTGGTGGTATTAAGAGGTGAATTAGGTCAGGTAAGTCCCCACCGAAGCCCAAACGTCTGGCCCACCCCCGCCTTACGGTAACCTCCTGACCGAACCATACAGGGCGCAATCTGAGCCCTCGCAGAAACCAGTGTCAAGTGGGACCGAGCATGGATGGAAGACGAGTTCACGCCTGGAAGCATCTGGGTGGCGAAAACGTTCGGGGGTCACTCTCCGATCGACCCAATGGGCGAGAAGGCCCCCTTGAAGCACGCCGACTCATAGTGCTTGTTCAGGTAGCTCTTGAGCGCAAAGGTCTTGTCGCAGCGCTTGCACTTGTAGTGCTTGAACGCCGAGTGCGTCTGCATGTGCGCGCGCAGGTTGGAGCGGTCGGCGAAGGCCTTGCCGCAGTGCGCGCAGCCGAAGGGCTTCTCGCCCGTGTGTGAGCGCATGTGACCCTGCAGCAGCCACGGGCGGCTGAAGGCCTTGCCGCACACGTCGCACTTGTGCTTGAGGTCGTGCGTCAGCAGGTGCATGGCCATGGCGGGCATGGACACGTACACCTTGCCGCACGTCGGGCACTTCTTGGCCATCTTGCTGTCCATGCTACGGTGCGTCTGCTTGTGGCGACTTAAGTTGGAAGACGTCGCGTATGTCTTGCCGCACTCGCCGCACGAGTGCCTCTGGGCTCCAGGCCTGCCCGCGCCGTCTGCGTCCGCCGTCCCGGCCGCCTTCCGTCTCGAACGGCCGTCCACGATGAAGAAGGCGTCCACGGAGTAGGCCTCGCCGATGGCCGTTTCCCCATTGATGTAGCCGCTGGCCGCCGACGACACCTCCGAGCGGGGGCTGTCCGGCTGGTCCGAGTCTCCGTTGATGTCGCCGTGGAGGCCGCCCACGTAGCCGCCGTCAATGCGGCTGTAGATGATGGACGGGCGGGGTGGGGAATTTGGAGCTTTGGAGATGGCGGGCCTGTCGCTGCGCACCGGGTCGTCATACGGGGACGGACTCAGATAATCCCGCTGGTAACCTGAGGAGACGCAGGAAATGATTGGTGAAGAAATAAGACGCCGACTGGCGTTATTTCGAGACCCCGCTGCAGGCGGATGTACTAGACACTGACTGGACATTTTTTTAGGGACATTTGCATATTCTAATTCCATCCAGGTTTTCCAGTTGTCCTGAAGAAACCATTTCAATTTTCATCAAACGTTACTTGAAAGGAATTTAAATCTCACTCCAGTTTTTTTTTGATATTTGAATAAATGGCCAAGGGGTTCCGGATTACTCTAGTAACATGGGGTTTTCTGCCCATAAGATCTTGGGCGTTGAAATAATTTTCACTTTTCGTTGGTGACACGCACACCCACGCGCTCAGTGAGACGGCAAGCTCTGCAGAATGCGCGCCGATCAATAGAGCTGCTCCATTTCAATTAGCGCACTCCAAGATACTTGTGCTGGTAATATCATTTCACCGGTCACTTCTGAGAAAGGCATCCATGTCGGTAATAGCTACTGGGGGCGGGCGAGAGGCGGCGGGGTTGAGCAAGGGTGCAGGTCAAGCTGCTTGTTTACATGCTAACTGGACGTTTTGGGGGAGGGAAGACGCAGGCAAACAAGATGGGAGTCTTGACGTCATGAGTCATGAATATTCCATAATAGTACTCTTGACTGCGAATGTGTGTGTGTGTGTGTGTGCGCGCGCGCGTCTGTGTTTTATAGAGCATGAGTAAAGTTTTGCAAAGATGACCAAGTGTTCATTTTAGCGAAGAGGAAGCCTGACTCAGAGCGCTTGAGCGTGTGTGCGCTAAATTCATGAAATAATACAACACAAGAAGCCAGCAAATCCTACAAGCCTTCGGGCCGCACAGACGTAACAATACGAGAAAAAAGTTATTCATCTTTCAGACATGAATGGGGGCCAATATTGGGAACATCCAACATCCAACAATATTTGAACAATATATATATATATATAACACACACACACACACACACACGTATGTATGTTTGCGAGTGATGCTTACAACTTGATGCGCACTTGTGTGCTTTGGCCTCCATGTAGGTCGCAAAGTGCTTCCTGTGTGTGTGTGTGTGTGTGTGTGTGTGTGTGTGTGTGTGTGTGTGTGTGTGTGTGTGTGTGTGTGTGTGTGTGTGTGTGTGTGTGTGTGAGAAATGCCATGCACTCAGGCGTGTAAGCTGCCTGGAAAATATGCCAACTTGACAGAAACACAGCAGCTGTGTGCGCATGTGCGTGTGCAACAAGCGCCACTTGCTCGAGTCAAACTCGTGTTATATTTATAACATGGGAGGAGTGCAGGGGCCACAATAGGCCTGCCGTGTTGCTTCTGCTGCCTCCGTATATGCCTCTGGATTCTCTCCTCCCAAGTGTCGCTGTTATTCTGTGGGCCACTAGGGGGCAGAATTTTTTAAAGCGAGCTGACGAACAGCTCCAGCATAACAAACGCTACAATGAACCTTGGTTTATCGCGAGGGGGGTGGCTGAATATGCAAACAGAAAAAAAAAACATTTTTTGGGTATAATTTTACCCCTCGCATTGCTAAAAAAAAAAAAAAAAAACCCTTGCAAAACACAGAAAAAAAAAACATTTTTTGGGTATAATTTTTCCCCCCGCATTTCTAAAAAAAAAAAAAAAAAACCCTGACAGACACTTTCCATAATATTTCTTAGCATTGTATCTTTACAAAACAAAATGTTTGAATAACCCATATAATTTGATCAAATGAACATTCCACTTGTTTAATGCAAAACGTACCCACGCACGGAGCAGCAACACATACTGCACAAACAATACATATAGCATCACTCACAGGCCTGTATCTTTTTCTTTCTGTTCATTTGACACAGTGACAAGTACTGCAGGTTTGTTGGGGATCTTCTCTGCTTCTTCATCTCGCTGTTAATTACATTACCAGTCACCACATCACCACTCGGTGGCGCTGTGAATAAATGAGAAAATTGTATATGTAGGATCAACCGCCCTCCCCCCCAACCTCGTTTCACTTGGCAACCTGAAATTTAATAGCAATGTGTATCATAATAGACATTGCTAATAAATTTCAGGTTGCCAAGTAAAACGGGCTTTATTGTTGTTGTTGTTGTTTTTTTTTTTAACCAGCTTATTTAACATTATCCTTCTTCATAAGGTTGATGACATTTACAGGCTGCAGGCGGCACATGTTGAGAATCACACGCTAGTCATAATTTGGACCTTGTGGATGCATTCTGCATTACGTGCATCTCCCCTGTACAGTCACTCCTCCACCGCCAGTTTTTCTAGCTTCCTGACTTTCTCGCCACTACCTGAGTTTGACCCCCTTCCGAGTCACTTATGACTAATGCTGCTACCTGGGGATTCAGATAATGTGTTGGAATAGCGTGTGTGCGCGACTCACCTTTATGATGATGGAATCGCAGGCTCAATTCCCCACGTCGACCGTGACAGTAGGAGCTCTCCAGGTCGGCGGCTGAAATGTCATCCAGCTTGACTTTCTTAACCAAGAAAGAGCGAGGCATGATGGCAGACACACACGCACGCACACACACACGCACGCCTACCAATTCACACTTTATGAAAATTTGTTTAAAAAGTTTCTTCTCCCGGAAAACTGAGTTATGGGCATTCCAAAAGTGTTAAATATGTTTAAAAAAAATTTGAAAAAGAAAAGGTCCCAGTTTCTGTTACTGTTAAAATTCCTCTCCTGTGTCAGGTCCTTCAGAACCGGTCAGCTCCTTGAAGCGAGCCAGTTGACGTCGCTGTCCCTTCAGCACCACAATAGCAGCACGAGTCAGGCACATTCCAGTGTTCAAAATAATCTTCTGTCTCTTTACCCTGAAAAGTAGTGCAAAGCAGAAGTTCAGCAGCGTCCAAAACGCGTCCCGAAACGTCCTTGCGCCCTATTAGCTCCTCTTAAGCACATTATTGCTCCTACAAAAAATGATTCAAACGCGCAGGAAAGAGCCATACGTCCTCACATTCTTCCGCCTCCTCCACTTCTTCATCTGCCTCTGCTTCTGCTCGGAGTGTGTGAAGCTGCAGCGGCTCTCTGGTGCACAAGACCAGCTGTTGCCCTTATATAGATGAGAGAAATGGAGATGGGGGGTGGGGGGGAGAGAGAGAGAGAGAGAGAGAGAGAGAGAGAGAGAGAGCATTCGGTCCAATGGGAACAGCGTGGAGGGATTTAATGAGCTACTTTGAAAGCACTCGGTGGCTCGGCACTGATTTATAAGGCGAGTTAAAGAGGAGCAAAAGGGGGCTTAGCAAAAAGTGGAAACTGTGATGAAAGTAAAAAGGGCCACACAGAAAATTAAACAATTAAAAAAAACAAGCGATGAATGCGTGTATGACATCACACTGAAAAATATACAGAAAATGTGGATGTGGGGAGAGAGAATGTATGAAAAATGTATTATGCATGTGTTTCAACTATATATTTTCACACCTACACAGAACACAAAAAAACGGTTTGAATTGGAAGATATGGTTGGATTTAAGATGTGAGTGTATTAAATCATATCGAATTATTCCACTTAAATGTATCACTGTTTATTGGGCAGACATATCTTTAAAGGAACATTTACCGGACTGACAAATTAATTCATATTTATCCAGAACAACAGCAAGAAATTCATTGCATCATAGCTCAAACTGAGCCGTAACATTTGGAATTAAATTAGAACGGAATTAAATCGAGCCCGCCTTGAATGGCATTGCGCCCCATGCATTGAGATATGCAGCGATGTGAATGACCTCAACGTGCGAATGTGATTGGCTCGTGACCACTTCAGAGTGTATCCCGTCTCTCCCCCAAAGTGATCTGATTGCACACCTGCACCCTGAAATGAATAAATTAAAATAAATCGTCAAACCTACACAGTACACCGACATGCCACATGCAGCATATTTTCTCTTGTCAAAACTGAGTGAAATGAATGTAGCTCACTGCAGGCACATGCAGGAGTGATGCATTGTTTTGGATGTTTACACTCAAAATGACTTCTCCCTGCAGCTAGGACACGCGCGCACACACACACACACACACACACACACACACACACACACACACACACACACACACACACACACACACACAGCCCTCCCCCCCTCATTCATACTGATGCAGAGAGGCGGGATGACTGTGTGTGTGATGTAATCCGGTGACGCGTGCACTTTATGTAAGGTCTGTTCACTGGAGTTCTTGCACTTGTTTCTTTTTGGGTTTTTTTTTGTTTTTTTTAGTCAAACCTTGTGACTACCATCATCACCTCTTTTTTTTAAGCTCCTAAGGAAAAATAAGTCGGAAACTTGACATGCAAAGATATTGAATGATAACTGGATAGATCTTGCACACACGCACGCACATTCACACACCAGACAGGAAATGCTAAAAATGGCTCACTTGTGAGTTTTCCTGCTGAGCTCAGCGCTGTTTGTCTACCGTGTGTGTGTGTGTGTGTGTGTGTGTGTGTGTGTGTGTGTGTGTGTGTGTGTGTGTGTGTGTGTGTGTGTGAGCGAGCATGCATGCATGTGGATGTGTTGAGACTGAAGGTCTATTAGCATAATAATAGACTTGAAATCATTGGCTTGTGTGCGTGTGTGTGCGTGTGTCCATGCATGTGTGCACACGTGTGTAAAAGGCTCTCAAGAAACACAATGGGCAGGAGGTTGTTGACTTTTCATTCCTTTCTCTTTAAGGGGCCATCCAAATGACTTAAGACCCCCATTCAAATAGAGAAGGATTTTAACATTGGAAGCAATGGAATCAAATAAGCAGGAGTGGAGGGGGGCAGTGGCGGGGGGCTTCAAGAGGACAAAGACTCGGTCAACGTGGGTTAAGGAGGCATTCCCCTGTACGAAAAAAATGAGAATAATCCATTTCAGGGTCAAAATTTGTCGCTGTTGTAATAGCGTTGCATACTTGCTGTCCAAGCGAAAGTCATTTTAATTCCAGACCGTCAGTTGTAAAATGACACGAACCATTTTATTAAGATGTATAAATACCAAATTTACATACAATTATAAAATTTGCGAGAGCACCACAAAGTGAAAAACAAAGTTGGAGGTGATGGAATTGTGGAAGTGTGAGAGGAGGTGGCAAACAAACGTAGGACTGAGTGACCGAAAATAAATCAGATAATTAATAAATCAATTCTTCTGATCATTTTTAGGGGGAAGTGAGCATAAACTGCATATAGAAGACATATTTCATTTGATTTACTCACCCCGAGTGTGTGCCCATTCCGCGTAACCTCCCTCAAACGTCGCAAGACCACTAAAAGTTAGAAGCAACGTATAGTCAAAAGACTTGCTGAAGAAAGAGGGGGTCATTTGCAAACGTGGCGAGGATCCATCCATATGCGTGCTGTATGAATATGTATGCTCTATGTATGCGGGGCGAGGATGGCCATTAATATGTATTGTTTGGTAATGAGGCGAGTGGGGCACATCAGATGGGTCCTTCCTTAACTGCTCACATGTGGCTCATTAAGGAGCAGACCACACGAAGCACCTGATACCCCCCACCCCCTACACCCAATCACGGGGGGGGGGGGGGGGGGGGGCGGGGGGGGGGACGACCACAACATCCTGACGAATGCTAACAAAATGGACATTTCATCAGCATCCATCTTGTAATATGACCATCCTGTATGTTGATTTTGCACGCAATAGGAAATCGAGGAAATGACTCAAATCACCTCTCCCCATTGAAGTGAATGGAAACGCAATTAATCCATTCTCCAAAACATCAACAAAAATGTTTTTAATTATTTCAAGATCTCAAATGTGCTTTAAAAATGCCAAAAGGCGTGAAAAAGAACTCAAACAAGGGCGTGCTTATTATTCCTTCGCGTGGTTGCAATCAACTCGAAGCACGTGGGGCCTCCGTGCATATAGACAGCTTTGAGTCATTCATCCATACACAGACAGCTTATTAACCAGTCTGCGTTCTCAGCTGCCTCGCACCTGATACTGCCACCGGCCCCTGAACAATGCGGACACTCCGTGGACCCTCTCTGATGCCTTAACAAAGATCACATTAACTCTTCTAGGCAGCCAAAGCGACATGGCTTTGTATATAGCATGAAAGTATGTGGTTTGAGACGGCCATTTTAGGGTCATTTTCAAAAATGGGGCTACCTTGGAATTTTGTCCAGCTGCTATCAAATTCCAAATATTTATACGGGACACAAAAAGGCCACTTCCATATCGATTTAATGAGCAAAACAATGTTTCGTTGATTGTGATAACTCGCCACTCAACCGCGATTTGTAACTCATGAATGTGCTCTCTAAAGCTGGTCGTTTTAAATTGTCTCGTTTTGTGTGTGTGTGTGTGTGTGTGTGTGTGTGTGTGTGTGTTTGTGTGTTTGTGTGTGTGTGTGTGTGTGTGTGTGTGTGAGAGAGAGAGAGAGAGATATTCTGGGGGTTAATTGGGTCTAGGTACACAGACACACACACACAGGCACACACACACTGAAAATCCTCTTAGCTACTATAATGAAGGAAGTAGAAGTGGCAAAGGAGAGAGTGAAAAATATGGATGGAAAAAAAAAGCTGGGGAAGCAGATGCAGGTCAAGATCAAAGGATAAATACAGAGGGATCATTTTTTTTCGGGTGGGATGCTTCATGAAAAAAGAAAAAAAAAGTCAATTATAACATTTCATCATTGCCATGGAAACCAACAGCAGCCAGCCAGACAGGCCGGGATGCGATCCACTTGTTATAAACCTTCCTTGTTAGTTCGTTGCTTCGGATGTTATTTTGTGTGTGTGTGCGTGCGTGCGTGTGTGAGCGTTTGTGTATGAGAGAGAGAGAGAGCGCAACAGCGTGTTAATGAAACCCCACAAGCACTTTGTTCTGTTTTGCTCCAGGCTGACTTTGCTCTGCCAGGTTTGGGATTAATTACAACGGCTTCTACCAGCAATGAGTGCCGAGATGATATTTTTACCCTGGCGGTGGAGTGAGCAGACACGCGAAAGGCTGACAAGTACACTCGGAGGTCAGGTGAGGACTTGAGCAGATGAAAACCACTGTATGATACAACTAAAATAAATGAAAACTACTCACGCCGAAGAGACGTGTCATGGATAGGGAACAGAAGTCTCCCCCCACCCCCCCCCCAAGTTAGCATTGCAGAAAAGGCTTCACATGACAATAAAGGATATTTTTCAAGAAAAACAAGTTTAAATATTGAGGAAAATCATGTTATATCTATTTTTAAAATGTATTATGCTAGCGATTGGTTGAATAAGGTTTTTCTGTGAGGGAGGACGTGAAGTTCTTGAGGGGACATCCTTCCCAAAGTGACTCATGCAGCCGCAGTGTGACGCAGTCGCGCTCTCTTTGTTTCGTCTTTGTCAATGTCACTTGGCTTCTATTGGATTCTTAATCTTATATGCTCCATAATGGGCGGATTATTGTGCGCTCGGATATCTTGGTCAGCTCATCCCGGGCAGGCCGACTCTCGGCGTCAAAGTTTGCCGTTCACGTGCACAGAGCGCAGTACTGCTGATTCCAGCTTGTCACCAGAGTTGCCGAGTGCTGCATTTATTCCATTGAGTTACGCTGCATCCACTAAAGTGGAGGACAATGAGATCATATCTCTTTTTTTTTTCTTTTCCTTTCTGTGGCAAAGATAAATGTCGTGCGCTGGATTTTGCTTTCAAGTTGCAGCATGAGAGAGATTTTTTTTTCTCCCCAAAAGACAGCACAATAAGTAATATTAGGCCTACACTGAAAAAAATAGGTACACAGAAGTCACTATATAGAGTATATACACCCATATATACTTACATACATCTTTTCAGTGTGGCCCGAATACTTCTTGGTCCTATTTATATATTTCCATTGGGGGAGGAGGACAAAGGTTGTGTTAAAGACAATGGGGCCCATACAAGGCCGATTTGCGAGGGGCTGAGAGGGTTGAAGGTCTCCGAAGGCATCACGTCGGCCGAACGGATCAGCAAGACGGTGAAATGAGGCAGGAAATTTGAAGGGGGAGAAGTGTGTGGACATGCTTTAATGGTTTTAGGAATGAGAACTTTTGAAGAGGTTTTTTTTTTTTTTTTTTTTCGCCTC